AATTGTCCCATCTGCATTACACTTAATTTTGTAAATCCACTTACAACATATAGCTACTTTTCCAGGAGGCAAGTCTGTCATAACCCAAGTATTATTCAACTCCAGAGCATTTACCTCAACATCCATGGCTTCTCTCCATTCACGCTATTTAACAGACTCTTGATATGAATAAGGTTCAGTGTGTGTGGAGATAGATGTAACAAAAGCTTTACGTGAGTTAGAAAATCTGTGATATGATAAGGTAGCACACAAAGGAAAAGGAACACCTGGTCTAGCAAACATTTCTTCTTGTTCAACTCTTGTGAATGGAATAGTGAGGAAGTCTGCTGGCATACAAAATCCTACAAGTATGAAGGAGCTCTCCTTATTCTGGTGGACATGCAATGTAGATTCGGAGTTATGGAGGTGTTTTGGGTAGAATCCAATGGTTCTATTGAAACATTTGGATTCGAAATCTCATTGATTTGGTCAATATTCTCCGCAATTTTTGTTGAAGACTTTGAGGTTTGACTGACAGGATAGTTTAAATCAACATTTGCTGGATAAGAATAAGCTAAATCACTGGGGCTTGGAAGAGTGTGTTCGGGTTCTATGTTCTGACCTTTGTAAGGAAAAATGTTTTCATAGAAGACAACATTTCTAGAAATGAAAATCTTATTTAATTCAATGTCTAGTAGCTTGTAACCTTTGATTCCAAAAGGATAACTTAGAAAAACACACTTCTTGCTCTTGGATCAAACTTGTGTCTGTTGTGTGTGAGAGTGAATGCAAAAATAAGATATCCGAAGACTCTAAGATGGGAGTAAGAAGGTTTGGCTTTAAACAGAAGTTCAAAAGGTGTTTTATTGTCAAGAAGAGGAGTGGGTGCCCTGTTTATGAGAAATACTGTAGTCAAAACACAATCATTCCAATGTTTCACAGGAATTCCACTCTGAAATTTTAGGACTAGCCACATTTAGGATATGTTGGTGCTTTCTTTCAACTATAATATTTTGTTAGGGTGTCTCAACACATGTCTTTTAATGTATGATACCATTCTTCGAGTAAAAATCTTTCATATCAAACTCTCCACCATTATTGCTTCTAATTTTTTTGATTTTTACTTCAAATTGGGTTTCTATCATGCTACAAAAGTTTTGTAGTGCACTAGACGCTTCAGATTTAAGTTTGAGCATATAAATCAAGTGCATCTGCTAAAATCATCTACAATGGTGAGAAAGTATTTTGATCCATCATAAGCAACTTCATTACAAGGTCCCCACAAGTCACAATGAACAAGTCCAAAACAATTTTCTGATTTGTGTTTACTAACACTGAATGGTAGCTTATGCAATTGGCTAAAGGACGGAAAGAACATGGGTTCTTTGTGCTTATATGTTTGGATACATGATCAAAACTTAGTAGACCTATCCTAGAATCTGAAGGGTGTCCTAATCTATAGTGCCATAAACCGAAATCTTCAGGTTTAGTGATGACATATGCTGAAATAGTAGTTTTGTTAGCAAAAATAGGTAAGGATTCAATCAAGGCTGCAGGAGAGACTTCTTCTTGTAGTAAGTGGTATGGGCCTTGCCTCACCTTAGCCATTCCAATAGTTTTCCATGTTAAAATGTCCTGCACGAAGCAAGATTCAGGAAGGAAAATGAGACAACATCTTGATGATTAGGCCAATCTTCTAGCAGAGATAAGATTAAAAGAGAAGGATGGAACACAAAAAAATTCATCTAGAAATAATGTCTGTCGCTTGAACTGTCCCTGTATGGGTGACAGGAACTATATTTCCATTTGGAAGGGCAACCGAATTTGAAACTTCTATTGTAATGGTTGTGAAAAATGAAGGAGAACAGATCATGTGATCTGTAGCTCCAGTGTCCATGATCGACGAGATATCAGAAACATTTTTAGGCTTTGTGCTATAAGAAGATAAACTAAAAGAAATACCAGAGATATTTGGCATATCGCCTCAATTGAGGGGATGGTATGAGAGTTTGCACTTGGTTGATAGAAGGAGTGTAAGGCTGAGTGTTCTGTAACTTGAGTAATAATATGAGCTGATCTTATTGCTCCTGAGTTAAAGAGACTTAGCTGTTGTTGCTTGCTTATGTCCAATAGTAATAAGAGTAGCAACTTGGTTTGTAGAAGATCCAGTAGTTCGTTGCCTTCCATACAGTTTATGACCCGACGGATATCCATGAATTTTAAAACATTTGTCTGCTCAGTGACCATGTACTTGACAGTGTGAGCACACTGGTTTATCAAGATTAGCTTTAAAGCACCTTTCAAGAGAATGGCCAGGTATCTTGCAGAAGGTGCAGAAATACTTCTTTTGAGGTCCTACATTTTGCCTTCCTGCTTCTTTCAGAGCTAATCTTCCCATTAGAGCCATGGTCTCAGTGGTGGGAATATCAATAGAAATTTGTCTAATCTTTTCCTCTTGTTGAAAGATTGAATACACTTCATTTAGTTTTGGGAAATGTTTGATCAAAAGTATTTGTGCCTTGATACCTTTGAATGAGTCATTTAGACCCATAAGAAATTTCATTATCCAATTTCTCTCTTGATTATAAAATACAACTTTCAATCCTCCACATGTATAATTGAGAATGTATTCATAGTTCACTAGTTCATCAAGAAGAGTTTTCAGTTTTGAGAAATACATACTAACAGTATCCTGATTTTGCATTAAGGCTGCAATTCCCTGCTTCACTTCATAAATCCTAGGAGCATTCTGTTGTGCCAAACATTGCTCAAGTTCTAGCCACAGTTGATGTGATATTTCAACATATAGAGTACTAGCCATGATGTCAATAGACATAGTATTCTGTAACCAAGTGATGACAATATCATTGCAATGAAGTCAATGATCCATTAATGGGCTATTTACATCCTCTGGCTCACAAATGCTTCCATCAATGAATCCTAACTTATTTTTTAATTCTAGGAGCCATTTTCATTGACCTTGCCTACGAATGATAGTTGTTAAGAGTTAACATTTAAGTAACAAGTAATACACTAGAATTATCATTAGTTCCAATGAAGAATGGACTATTTGGCTGAGATGGATCAATGCGTCTGGTTCTGTATTTAGAGGTTGGTTTTGGTCATCATTGATGGAAGACTCACTTTCAGCCATCGTTGCTGTAATACCATATAAGAAAAACTAATAAAGAAAAAAGAACAATGGAAGAGCACAAAATTCAGGATAACAAAATTGTGAGAGAAGATGTATATCTGATTTTAATTTCTAAACAAAATATATAGAATTAATCTATTTGTACCAAGTTTGTTGACAAAGATAGTTGACAAAATTAGGTGTACGGTATGGATGAATTGTAATTGACGGATGAGATTGAATTGTCCATTATCTTATTATTTATTTCTTTATATGTTTTAGTTATTGTCTATTT